TAGAGGTTGCAGAAGGTGAGAGGGTTCAGATTAATGGAGGCAACATGAAAGAGATCAAAAAAGAGAGAGCAAGGGGTATTTTGGAGAAAGTTAAAGTTAATGATAAGTAATTGACAACTGCAAAGAGTAAAAGGAAAATCCTACACAATCCCTAACCTCCAATGACATTGACTTGCAATAGGAGATCCTGGGATAGGTAAGCTTGGTCAAAGCTGTTTCCCTTGGTCACAGGGTCAATCACGAGGGGGCATAGTTTTTGGGGTAAGGGGCAGGAGATTCAGAGTGGATTTGGGAAAAAACATTTTCATTCAGCGGGTTATGGGAATCTGGTGTGCACTGCCTGGGAAGGTAGTGGAGGCCAGAAACCTTTCAAAAGTATTTGGATGACCACTTCAAATATCATAAGATTCAAGGATGTGGGGCAAGTGCAGGAAATTGGAATTAGCGCACCTTTAGCGGTAGTTATGTCGGTGCACCCTTGATGGGCCTTTTCTGCATTGTATGAAGCTATGAAAGGAATAGATTTAAAGGGGTGACTTAAAGGAAGAGAGGTCCCAGGCAGCTGAAGGTATGGGCAACACTGGTGGATTAACTAAAAGCAGGAATAATCAAGGTCAGAATTGGAGGAGCATTGATATTTCAGAGACTTCTGAGGGTTGGAGGAGATGCCAGGGATAGGGAGAGAGCAAAGTCATGGAATAATTTTAACATCAAGGGTTAATATCGAGCTGTTGCTGGACCAGGACCCAATGTAGGTCAGTGAGCACGGGATGGGATGGGGGAATGGGGCTTGGTGCAAGTTCAAATATGGGCAGCAGAATTTGGGATGAGCTGAAGTTTACAGAGTGCAGGGGCTGTTATGTGGGCCAGGACAACATTGGAACGGTCACATTTGGAGTCCCAAAGACACGGCTGAGATTTTCAGTGGCTGATCCTGGCAGGTAAAAAAATTGGAACTTCCACTCAGTAATTAGAATGGATGTATTCTACCCTTCTGTATAGGAGCATGATCATGAGGGGTTAATTTAGACTGGTTTCATTTGGTGAAAATTAAGTAGTTGAGGAATAATTGTGGTCCCTCATAATAAACTGGCTGGAGGTGAGTACATGGAACCACTTTATGAATTAAAGGTTGAACTCAAATATCATAGAAACACAGAATCCCTACGGTGTAGAAGAGGACCATTCAGCCCATCGAGTCCACACCAACCCTTTGAAGAGCATCCAACCCACACTCATTCCCTACCTATCCCTGTAACCACCTCATTTCCCATTGCTAATCCACCCAGCCTGCACATCTTTGGACTGTGGGAGGAAACTGGAGCAGCTGGAGGAAACCCACGTAGACATGGGGAGAATGTCCCCGTGGAGTTCGCACAGTTGCCCGAGGATGGAATTGATCCCGGGTCCTTGGCGCTGTGAGGCAGCAGTGCTAACCACTGAGCCACCGTGCCACCCTGAAGACTCCCACCTCGACTCTGGTTTGCTACAGAATTACCTGTTCTGGGTCACTTTCTGCTGGTTAAAAGCAGCATTGGCCTGTATTGCTGGTGTCCATAGTCAGGCAGTGCATTGGGAACTAGGCTTCAATGTTCCCCCTCAGTCAGGAGTTTTGCTGAGAGCTGCATAACTAGAAGAATCTTCTGGCAGCTTTCACTTATGGTTGGACGCTGTCTCAAGGGAATTGCAATCTCAGTATTCAGTGGAGAACCTTGGGTTTCTTAACAGCTATGATGGGGAGGCAGGGCCTAGTGGTATTATCACTAGATTAAACCAGAGACTGAGGGAATGGTTTGGGGACATGGGTTCAAATCTCACCATGGCAGATGGTGGCATTTGAATAATGATCATGACTTCATTGCTGATTGTTGGGGAAAAACCCATCTGGTTCACTAATGCCTTTTTGGGAAGGAAATCTGCCATCCCTACCTGGCCTGGCCTACATGTGACTCCAGAACCACAGCAATGCAGTTGACTCTTAAGTGCCCTCTGGGCAATTAGGGATGGGCAATAAATGCTGCCTAGCCAGTGATGCCCTGATTTCATGAATGAATTTTTAAAAAATTTGATAATTGAAGAAGTACCACTGCATTTAAGTTAACATTGTTTTCCCTTTACGTTGCTACGCTAATCAGCGTGCCAACAAAAAGTTCCGACAAATTGCATCTTTTTGTTCAGCAATACTTAGTCATTTGGTTGTACAGAACCGATCTGCAATGAGCCAGTGATATTTTGATTACAGGGGTGCCAAGGGCACTCACCGGATGCACCAGTAAGTCACATGCCATATTTTGAAGGAAGTCAGAACACTGGGTGAGTTTCGGGGATAGTGGTGTTGGTGGCTGTGTTTTGGGCAAATTTATCAAATCAGTGACTTGGCAAAATAAGGCGCCTGAGAATTAACATTTGCAATGAGCAATACTGGCTGGGAGACGGAATAGCATTACCTCCGGCTTCATCCCCTCTTAAGAGTTAGCAGCATTGTGGTAATGTCACTGGATTAATTATTGAGCTTTGCATGCTAATGTACTTGGGAAGATGGATCTGAATGTCAAGGTGGCAGTTATTGAAAACAAAGCGGGCTCTTGTGATGTAGTGGTAGTGTCTGATCTCTGTGCCAGGAGGTCTGAGATCAAGTCCCACCTGCTCCAAAAGTGTGTCATAACATCTCAGAACAGGTTGATTAGAAAGCATCTATCTCTTACTAGTTGTAACTATTGAAGGCTATGCTCACCCTGACAACCAGCTGACACTGTGCCAACCCCCTTCAGTATTGGCACTGTCCCCATATCAGACCCGCAGTAGCTTCACCATTCCTCCAGCAAACCATCCCTATACTCATCATCCCTCTCAGACCCTCAGTAACATCATCGTTCCTGCATCAAACTCTGTGTCATCATGGTCACTGTATTATACCCGCAGAGCTCCCTACCTGTACCCGCGTCACTTTCAGAAACACTCCATCACTTGCAGTTACAATCTCTGTTGTCAGCCCCAACTCTTAGTTCTGTCTTCATCACTTTCAAATGCAGCTCCTTGGTGTAGGGAGCCTAGTAGAATTCCTTAGCCCCTGGGATAGTTTCTCCTGCTTCAGTGCTATCTCAGTGTCAACTGGAATCTGTAGATATTGATTCCTCATATCAGGACTAAAGCATGACATATTCAGGATCATTCCATCAGCCCCTTAGTTTCAATTTCAATATTATACCCTGCACCAACAACAGTAACACTTGTGAAACCTCATCATGAATCCTACATGTGTATGTCTGTGTTCAATTGTCTTGATTATTCAATGTGTGGTTGGAAAGTAAGGAGTGTGAATGAATGGTCCACATTCGCTTCAGACCAGTTACATATCCCATGCCAGTGAAGACAGGAGGAGGCCAGGCTTTAGATATTTCCCACTCAAAACTAGAGGTCTCTCTACAGGAAGCTGCAGTGTGTCAGTTCTCCTGCCTTAGTCCCCTCCTACCCTCATCAGTAGGTTGTCAATGAGTTGCATTCAACTTCACTAAGAAATTAATCAACCATTTTGCCTCATTTTTTATTTCATTCATGGGACGTGGGCATTGCTGGCTGGAGCAGTATTTATTACTCACCTCTAATTGCCTTGTTGAACCACTGCTATAAGCACAATGGTATTTGGGAGCAATTACCAGGATTTTGACCCAGCTACACTGAAGGAACAGCGATAAATGTCCAAGTCAGGCCAGTGAGGAGCTTGGAGGGGAACTTGTAGGTGGTGGTATTCCAACCTATTTGCTGCCCTTGCTTTTCCAGATGGCAGTGATTGTGGGTTTGGAAGGTGCTGGCAGAACCCAAACTGGGCGTCACTGAGCAGGTTACTACTGAGCAGATGTTGCTTAATAACACTGTTGATGACACCTTCCATCGCTTTACTGATGATCGAGCGTAGACTGATAGGGCGGTAATTGACTGGATTGGATTTATCCTGCTTTGAGTACAGGACATATCTGGGAAATTTTCCACAATGTCAGGTAGATGCCAGTGTTGTAACTGTAAGAGCTTGACCAGGGGAGCAGTAAGTTTTGGAGCACAAAATCAGTACTACTACTGGAATGTTGTCAGGGCCCATAGGCTTTGCAGCATTCAGTATCTCCAATTGTTTCTTGATATCACGTGGGGTAAATAGAATTGGCTAAAGACCGATATGCGTGATACTGGTGACCACTGGAAGAGGCCGAAATAGATCATCCACTCAGCATTTCTAGCAGAGTATTGCTGCGAACGTTTCAGCGTTACATTTTGTAGTGTTGGGCTCTTCCATCATTGAGGATGGAGATATTGGCGGAGCCTCTACCTCCAGTGAGTCATTTAATTGTCCACCACCATTGACGACTGGATGTGGTAAGGCTGCAGAGTTTCAATGTGATCCATTGGTTGTGGAAATCACTTAGCTCTATCACTTGATGCTGATGCTGCTTGGCAGCTGCACCAGGTTTTCAGCTCATTTAACGCTCCTGCACTTTGCAGTGAGCCAGCGTTGATCAGACACTCCATGGTGGTGCACACAAGTTGGATCTGGGAGACAAACTTTATCCAGAACCTGAATGCTCTGCATCCCGAGCAGATATTCGTGATAGACTCCGTCGAAAACCTTCTCCTGATTGGAGGACATCGAAGGTGCTCGACAGACCAATCCTCTGTGGGAAAAAAAATGGATCACGTTCTGGACCAGATGGACGTTATAGTGGATCCTCTGGCTTAGGACTGTGTATGACCAGTCAGGGTGGATCCATGTAGTCCAGTAGCAGTTCCCGGGCGAGACGACAACACCTTGGCAAAAACTGAAGAGGATCCGCTTTTAATTAGGACTTCTCAATTGAATCAGCTGCGGATATTCAAACCTATGCTCGGTGAGGGTTGTGTCAGGAGGAGACCAGAAGGGAAAGCCCCAGCATTGCAGGAAAGCTACAGGGAGGTAGGACAGCTGGAGAATCAGTTAACAAATGTAAATAAACAGCACCAAGGACACCAGATGCAATTTAACTTTTTTTTTCTTTTTAAACAATTTTTTGAAGTCCTTTTGAACTCCTCATGTTGCACAAACTGCATTCATTTTCTGACAAGCAGAACAATCTCATGTACAGTTTGTTTTCCCCCTTTTTTAATCTCCCCAATCCTGAAGCTGAATATTATTGTACTATACAAAGGCAAAAAACAATGTTCACACAGTGAATTCTTTACAAAGGAAAAAAAGCTACATTCCACATTGGAGAAAGATATTCTAAAACATTCCATACTGGAGTATATCAAACAAAATTTTCAGGAAATTTTTTTTACCTTAATTTAAGAAAACTAAACAAGCTGATGTGTGAGAAAGGCAACATTCTCACTGCGAGAATTGGCTGCAGCAATTGTGGTCAGGTTAGATCCTCCCGCGATACAGTTAAAGCCTCCTAACAATCATCGGTACACTCTCCTCCTCAGATCCCTTGGCAAAGACCAAACATCACTGGGCAGCTGTAAGTGCCTGTGTGCCAACTGTAGATCCAAAGCACTTCATATGGAGTGATTCCCAAGATCCAGTGTATAAAATGAGGCTGATCATGGGGGTGAGAGAGAATGGGAGGCCTGAGGTTGAGGGTAAGAGTTGAGTGATAGGCAGTGAAGGGATCCAACCATCCAAAAAGGCTCCTCAGCTGCCTGGGTCCACATCCTGCCTTTCCAATGGTATTTAAGAAATTGCACATTTCCAACGTTAATGATTAGAATCATTAGGATCTCAACCACTCAAGCACACAGTGCCCACATCGGAGATCATACATACGATGCCCATAGTTGATTGGGTTCGTAACTGGTTGGATGTCTAAACACTCAAAGGGGCTGGGGTTGGGGCGGGGGGGGGGGGGGGGGGGAGGAAATTATACATCCCTCAATCCCATTACATGCCTGGTCTAACAGGAGGTTTCAGGTCAATTTGGATAAAAAGGGCTGGCACATGGTGGAGCCCTTGGATTGTATAGAGGTTAGCAGTTCCCTACATGTGGTCAGTGGTAGCTTCCCCGCACAATATCAAGGCAAATCCCAAACTTGTTGCAGCATCTTCATTCCCCAGTGCACTACCCAAACCACACAGAATTCAAGGCTCCTTCTACAGGACTGGGGATTGCATCTTAATGTGTGAAAGAGGCATGCAATGAGGAAAACAGGGAAAGTAGAGAGCAGTGGATATAAAGAAGAAAGCATGTTCAGAAAAGACAGAGAGAGAGACAGAGAAACTAAGCCAAAGTGAGAACAAGATAAAGGTAGAGAGTAAGAGAACGTGAGGGGGACAGACATTGAGAGATGTACTGGCTGAAATGAGTTTGAGATTGGGAGAATCTTGGGATTCTGACAGAAGTCTGCTAGCTTGAGAGTGTGGGGCAGCAGTTTAGAGAGTGTATGGGAGCACTGTGTTAGAAATGTGCAGTTTAGCAGGGAGACAGTAAAAACCTGGTGAGGGATGAAAGCCAGTCCCTCGCATTAGCACAGCCTGATTGTAGGATAAAATTCATACCTCTGCTGATAGCAAACAGCTGAATTAAAAATACAGAAAATAGCCGGTCTGAGATTAACTGATGCAATTTCACAAACACACTCACCGCTGACTTTTCTGCATTGGAATCTCAAAAAGAAAGAACCATTCCAAGCATCCAGACTGACAAGACCAGCTAGAAACTGCAACTGGCAGCGGTTTACAAACTAAACCAAAAGTGCCACCGTCAATCTGTACTGTACGAAGCCCCACACAATGTGAAACCCTCACTCAGTCAACATTTGGCCATGTGGTAACAGCTCCCATTCCCACAATGGCCAAGGTGCAATCTGTGGGGCATGCACACTCAGAGGCCCTCACTGATTATCAGCGGCAGCCAAACAAACTAAAACTAAAGACGTTCGCTCGGTCTAGCTCTCTGTTCAGACCTGGTGCATGGCATCTCTAAAAGAAAAGGAAGTCACATACAAATCAAAACTGACAAAAATGACAGAATCTGGAATATTCTGCCCCAAGATCCAGACAGACAACAAACAAACAAGGCCTCACTCTGCAGGGCTGCTTCCAGGGAATAAAATGGAGCTGGAGCTTCTTAAAGCCACAAGGAAGCAAGGATGCTGGAGAGAAGAGGGTCAGATGGAACAGGTTGGGACGGGGGAGGGGGGGGGGGGGGGGGGGCGAGGTCGTCGTCGGGAGGTGGTGGCGGTTCAGAAGGTTTCAGGGTGGAATTGCATCGGTGAGCTGGACTGACATTTCACATTACTGACTGGAGTCAGCAGAATGTACCTGGAAGCCTCGTCCAATCTAGACAAGACCTGTGAAAGTGAGAGCTCCTCTCCTTGGGTGCCTCCCACCTCAACCTGCCAGAATTCAGCAGAGTTAAGTCTCTAGTGTGGGAGATCACCCAGTGAATGAGCTGCATGAAATTAAACAGGCTTTGTCAGTCACTTGTGACTAACATTCCAGAGCTACCGTGGACTCGGTACTGAACGCTGCTAAGAGTCTTCATCCTGTGGTCCATTCTGGTGCCCAACCTCTAGCTCAACATATGCCCTGGGAAATCCTAGTGGCCAACATCAGATTTTATGCCTATTGTAATATTGGCAAATCAGCAGTGCCCTCCCCCAAACAAATCATAAATTAACTCCTTCCCTATTAGGAAAAACAACTTCACAAAAGTCATTGACAAGATCAAGGGAGTGAAACAGCTAATGGGACACAGAGATATTAAACATTCAAAAGGAAGTCACCGTATCTGACACTATAAGGGGCACCCTCACACCCTGGTACCTGACACCACAAGTGAGGGAGGGAGGGAGAAAGTGAGGGATATGCGTCCCGTGTATTCTACCAGCCCAGGCGTTGACATATTCCCTGTGTTGTAGTAGCAGCATGACTGAGATCAATGCACTTTGCATTCAGAAGGAAAGAGTTACACACTCTGCTGCAAAAGTAATCTAAAAACATTTGATGATTTGTGACCGATACTGTTGACAAAGCATTGAGCAACTTTATTTTAACAGGGAGTGCTTTGCTCAGGAAACCTTTCAGTTTGAAGCATCCCAGAGAAATATGAAAATGGTCTGGGCAGCAGTTCCAAAGTGAACTGACCTTGGCCCTCTCCTTTCTGGGATCAACAGATCCGTACTTTCACCTTGCGAGGTGGGATCCATAGTTTGCTTCATGCTTTCATACTAACCCCCAGAGAAAAAGAGCAAAAAAAAACTGCACTTGCTAGAATTTGGAAATAAACAGGGGATGCACGTATCTTGAGTATGGTTGGAGAAAGAGGTTTCTGATGGATTAATGCCTCATCTTCTCGCCCACAAACAGCCCAGTTTGCACAGTCTAGCTCTTCACCCACTTTTGAAATAGGAGAATCAGCAGAGGTGATAAAGATCTTCTCCATCCCTTCCCTCTGGTAGCCTTCCTGCTTACACACCGTGACAATGCAAGCCTTTTAGGAATCAAGTCCCTTGATGCTACCTACCCCAAGCGAGTTCTTGTTACACTCTCACTGATCGAGAGTGGCAGCCTGAACACTGCACTGTAGCTCAGGAGCAGGAGCTGAAGGTTATGAGATATGAAAGCTGGTGCTGGCAGAGAGGTGGGGAGGGGTGGAACAGGTGTCAATCCTCAGCGAGAATATTTTTAAAATCAAATGAATGGGGCTGCACCACTGGCGTGGATCAGGAAGGTCTCCCCGATACGGGTCAACCTCCAGACATTTAGGAATCGTCCTGTGAACAATGTCCCCAGCATGGCTGAGGACAACAATACCGACTTGTTGATTTAAACTCAGACGTGGCACAGATACCACACACCATAGAAGAGGGTATTAAACCAGTGGGCAGAGCACTGACCAAGGCCAGTATCAGGCTGAAGGTCACGTGTGTTTGGGGTAAGGAAGGGTAAAGGTCAGGCATGAACTCAAAAGTTTGAACTCAACCCAACTGGGGCAGCGGGTGGGGGGGTCTCGCTCTCTCTCTCTCTAAAAATGTGAAATCCACCGCTCTCAACACAAAGTCTGGAAACCTCTTGTTATGTTATGCCCCCTCCAATTTGACAGGAATTATTAGGTCCCTTCCTGTTTAATACAGTAGTGGGAATGTGTGGTGGGTTCACTGGACACTGCTGTGATAAACAGTGCCCAGGATGCCAGTCCTAATTGTCACATTGAGCCAGGTCCATACGGTTGCTGAGACCAGCTGAAGCAAGCTGCCAAACAGGAGGGTCAGGTCTGAAGCAGACTGCAACAAAAATCAGTCTCCTCAATGTCAAGAGGAAGCTCTTGACACCAGCCTTTGTCCATTTTTAAAAGCAGTGCCAAAAAGAACTTTTCCGCATTAAAAAAAACACACACAAAAACTGTACAAAGCTCAAATGCCAAGCAGAAGTCAGTAACCAACAGCCTGACATGGCCGGTCAAGTGCACACCATCACGGGGTACACGAAGAGCTGGGACCCCGACTGGGGTGGGGAGGACACAGAGAGCTGGGACCCTGACGGAGGGGTGGGGGGAAAACACAGAGCTGGGACCCTGTCCACACAACATCTCTGATGAAGTCATGACAGACTCAAGGCTGGGGCATGATCAGAATCATTGTTATAACTGGTTATTAGAGCCACAGAAAAACTAATGATCAAATACCGAACTTGCTCAGAGTTCACTGCAGATTGAAGAGAAGCAACATTGTCCTTTGGTGCTTCAAACATGCCAGTTGAATGGCTTATTCTGTCTCTGCAGTTCTATCTTATTTGATCATTTTCCACTGTTTGGATCCCTGTGACTTTTGCTGCTGTTGACTAGTGGTAGAGTGCAAATAGGAGACAGCCAGAGCGCTCAATCCCAACTCTAACTCCTTCAGCCTCTCCCAGAGCTAGGGCTCCAAGTCTCAGTCCACTCAGGGAGGGTGGGGAATAAGGGGTGGGTGGGGAGCTGGAGGTAGTGTTGGTGCTGTCCAGCCCCTTCCTACACTGGGGCTACCAATGCTTCATCTCCATGTGGTTTGTTTGACACCACTGTTCAGTCCTTTTAAGATAGCTGTGTAAGGGTCTATCTTAAAAGAGAGCATCTTAAATAGCATGTTTGTCCTCTGCATGGCATATTTCCAATTGATGCAAAAACATGCAATCACATAGTTTAGAGGAAATGGATTCTCCGCCCTCACCCTCCCACACTAAGTCCCTGTGGTCAAATTCCTCCACAGTGGGGACCCTATGACCAAACCACCATCTCTCCAGTCTGAGTGAAGCTTCAGCTTCCATGAGACTCTCTGGAGCCAGGCCAAGCAAAAGGAGGCAACGTCTTCAACATGCGAATGTGTTCAGAAAGCAATAAACCTTTTCCAGTAAGGCTGCTCTTGGGTTAGTTAATTTCCACCCTGTGGAAAGCACAATGACAATATTTAAGAATGTTACTTTTCTGGTTGAGAGGGCTCCTGACTTTTCCCTCCATCTGGCTATAAAACCTCCAGGTGAAGGTCCTATAAAAAAGGTAGAGATGGCGGAGCTCTCTCCCCCCAGAGGAGTAACAACCTTTCAGTAAGTAGGTTAGTGGAAGGATTTTCTCCTCACTGCGGTGGAACTAAAAAGGTTCCATCTGTGACGTCATCCTTTGTCACATCATCTCAGAATCCCATGGGAATGTGACTTCATCAACTTGCGCTGTTGCAGGCACAGTTCTGAAGTAGGGGTATACAATAGGGTGAGATTACTTCGCTAAGATTAACCAGGTAATCATAAGGATATGTCCCATGCCTTGCAAGCCAAGGCATGCACACTAATAAAACAAAATGTTATTTCACACGTACACGACAACAACAAATAAATTTGATGCTAATTTGACGCATTGCATCTAGATGAGTGGCATGTCAAGTTTGTCGGGTTGCAGTGCTGCGTTTTTCTTTAAACCAGACATTTGGGCTGGCTTGTCCAGGGCAGGTTGTTTGTTTAAATCCCGTTCTGCTGGCTGTCACAGCGGTCACCTGCTCCCTTGGTATCAGAAGCCAGGTTCAGAGAGTTGCACTTGCTGGTTAGAGTGTTGATGGCGCTTTCTGTCATAAAGCTGGAGGCCCCGACCTTTGACCCCTCACTACACAACGAGAAGAACAGATAAGAGCTTCAGTTTCGTGCAGAGACATGACCAGCCTTTGCTTTTAATAATTTTGTGCATATAGAAAACTTACTCTCTTCAGCCCCTTGATTCTTAGCCTCTTACTACTATAATCTTAGAATCATAGAATTCCTACAGTGTGGAAGCAGGCCATTCAGCCTATCGAATCTGCACCAACTCTCTGGGGGCATCCCACCCAGACCCACCACCTCTATCCAGCCCCAGTAACCCTGCATTTCCCATGGCTAATCCACATAAGCCTGCACATCCCTGAACACTATGGGTCAATTGAGCATGACCAATCCTCCCTAACCCTGGGACTGGGGGAGGAAACTGGAGCACCCAGAGGAAACCCACGCAGACACGGGGAGAATGTGCAAACTACACCCAGACAGTTGCCCGAGGGTGGAATCGAACCTGGTCCCTGCCGCTGTGAAGTAGCAATGCTAACCACTGAGCCACTGCTGGACATAACACTGGCTGAATCAGGACTACAACATGCCAGTGTTAAATGTACACTCATTCACACAAACAAGTGACTTTTCATTGGAAACAACATTAGTCTTGGGGCTTGGCTGCCTTGTAGAGATATCTAAAGTGCCTCACATACATAGATTAGGCAACACCAAACATTCCACTGTCATTAGATAACAAGGTGTAGAGCTGGATGAACACAGCAGGCCGAGCAGGAAAGCTGACGTTTTGGGTTGAGACCCTTCTTCAGAAAAATGATTGGCCTGCTGTGTTCATCCAGCTCTACACCTTGTTATCTTAGATTCTCCAGCATCGGCAGTCCCTACTACCCCACTCCACAGTCATTATTTGCTTCTAGAGCAACATGAATTCAGATTGATCGGGAGGGAATTAAGTTGATCAATGGCAAAAGTGCCAACAAAAGCATCTGTGATCGGGAATGTCAACACTTTAAAGCTACAACAAAACTTCCAGCTGAATAAGGGGGAGTCCTGATAATGGAACTGAAAGAGTGCCAACCCAGACTCCAATTCCCTGGGAATACTGTGGAAGACAACTATGGTAAAAACAGTGCCCATCTCTCCAGGAGCCAGAATACAACCTATCCTTAAAACCACAGCCAAAATACGTTAATCATCAAATTCAGAATACAGTCAATACTAACACTGCCATATCTACAATTGAACCTTCTCACTTTGTATAGTCAGAATATTCTAACCCTCTTCAATTCAGTCTCTCTCAGAATTTTAAAACTAAGGAACTATTCACCCCCAGTGCCATTTTGTCAAAGTGGTCAGTCTGTGTGACTGCAGGTTATTAGATTCATCAGATGCCATAATGTGGAATAAAAAAAGATCAGCCCAATACATAGTGCATTTACAAGGATGAGAGCAGCTAGCTTGGCCAAACAGAACTTGGAACCAGGCCTGCATGCTCAAGTTACTACAGTTAGTGTCATTCGCTTGCAGACATTGGACCTGTTGTCTTCTTATGTCTGTACTGAAAGCCTACATTTTGTCAGTGGCACAGCTTCTGTGCTCATGCAAACACATGCCAAGAAACACAGCAGAATGGGGCATGGTCCTTATTCAGAGAGCAAGTTAAAGCTAGCCAACTGTGGATGTGCTCTGACAGAATCATGGTGATAAAACACTGGGCTCCGAGTTGTTACCTGAGGGAAGGCTGCAGATCCTCAGGGGCTTTATGCTGCTGCTCAGACTGTCCATTCTCAGTCTGATTATTAGATGCCAGTTTATACTGGATATCAAGCGAGGGACGACTTTCCTGCATAGTGAAAATAAAGAATTACGATCCATCACAAATATCATGCATTTTGGTCAAATGACATTGCTAGGAATGCTGTCACAATATTATTACAGACATCATGAGCTTCTACAAGGAGAGAGCAGGTAAACACGGGTCTCTCAGGAGGGTCAGACTGGGGTATTACATCAGGCAAAACAAGGAAATGGCAAAGACTTTGAACAAACATTTTTTGAGTCTTCACACAGCGGAAGGCACCATGAGCATCTCAATAACAGTACAATATCAAGGGGAAAGGAGGAGGAGGAGGAGGAGGAGGAGGAGCATCAAACAATCCTTATCACCGGAGAGCAAGTATTAGGCAAATTTTTCCATCTAAAGACTGACAAATCCTCTGCACCTAAACTGAAACTGCTGGAGAAGCTCACAGGTCTGGCAGCTTCTCTGGAGGAGAAGCAACGTTAACATCGAGTCTAGTCCAGTGACCTTTTTTCAGGTCCTCTAGACTTGTTGGCATGCTTCTGAGGGTCTTAAAAGAAGGGGCTGGAGAGATAGTGGATGCATGGATTGTAATCACCTAAAATTTCATAGGTTTTTTCATGGTCCCAGCAGATTGGAAAATGCTAATGTAACACCGCTGGTGAAAAAAAAGGAGTGAGACAAGGAACAATAGGCCAGTTAATTTAATATCTGCCATTGGGAAAATGCCATCATTAATAATAGGACAGGGGGAAAAAAATCAGAATACAATCATAGTCAACATGGACCTGTGAAAGAAAATCGTGTTTGCCAAATTTATTAGAGTTCTTGATGATGTAACAAGCAGGGCCAATGAAGTGGAATGAGTAGATGCGGCATTTTTGGATTTCGAAATTTGGGACCACATTAAAAAGGTTACTACACTTTTTTTTTAAATTCTTCTGCCTTTATATTCTATGTTTTGGTTTATTTTTCTGTGTTTTATAATCGCACCGAAGAGTGACGACAACATACAACACTTCACTGCATTTTGTAACAAAATGCAAACGACAAAAATAAATAAAATCACAAAACAACTGCTCATAGTGTTCAGGGTTCTGTATTGACATGGATTGATTAACATTCTGAGGTGGCTTGACAGGATGAATACTGAGAGAACATTTCCCCTTGTTCGGAAATCTACCTTATGGGGTACAGTTTCAGAATTTATGTTGGGGAGATCGTAGGTTATTTTGAGAGGATGAGAGGACAGCGAATTCAGAAGTTGAGATGAATGGTGAAATCACCGAGAACGAATACTTACAGTGCACAGGCCGAAAGGATGAGGGACAAAAGCAATGAAGAAATTTCATTGAGCAACCTGGTGTGAGTGGGTGGTAGAGAGTGAGGAATCTATAGGTGAGACAGGTGGAGGAAGGTGTGTCGCTCAAAAGATGAGAAAGTACCAGAACAGCACGAGGTCAGGACAGACCGTGATCTTGGTGATGGATGCCAGGCCATTGGTCTGGACCAAGGGGAGCCAGCCAGGGAGGAATTATTAAAGGGGAAAATGTTTCAAATTGCATTTTGTTTATTCAGTTATATGCAGGTAATAGGCATTAAATGGGAATTCATCTGCAGCCCTATAAATGGGCACAATTTGAAACTGTTGTCTGTAAGTGAAGAGGCACGTGCTTGTAAATAAATGGTTATAAATGTGGACAGACTCCAGTGCTATCCTTCACAATCTGCAATACAATTGGTGACACCAGCCCTCAACCTGGAATCTGTCAAGGCTATGCCAATTATAAAGTTCCTGTACGGCATAGTCACAAGAGATGGGCAATGACAACTGATCCATTGGCAGCGTCTACAGGGCCAACAGTGGATAAGGATGGGAGGGGGAAAACACTGGCACCCATTGGACATGTCAGAGAGGTGGGATTTGGTGAGAGTAGCATCAGGCAGCTTGGGTTGCTACTAAGAGGAGGCAATAATGAGTGTCTCAGTAGATCCTTCAAAAGGATGCCAAGAGGGAAGCTGTAGACTTAACTAAAAAAGAAGTCAGTCTGGCTCAATGGCAGAATAGAAAGGTTGGGACAGGGGCTTGGTAGGGCAGTGATTACATTAGAGATGCTCAGAAATGAAAGGAGACATGATGACACAAGAGAGGAGTCTAGGAGGGGTAAAGGGAAAATAAAAAGAAGTGGAAGAATGGAAGTGAAGAAAAAGGCAAACAGAAGACTAACTGTAGACTGTAGAAAGCGAACAACACTGCAGAAGAAGAAATTCATTTCTCTCAAATGGGAGGTCCCTTACTTTTTTGATTTGGCCCCTAGTTTCAGACTCCCCCACAAGGGGAAACATGCTTTCAGCACCTACTCCGTCAAGTCCCTTTAGAATCTATAAAGGGCACGTTAGGAAGAAGTTCCAGTTATAAGTCAGAAGTCTGTGACGGGATAAAATGGATATGCATGAGCGAGACAACATGCACCAAGTTGTTGTCCAGTTTCCACCACAGATCACAGAACCAAAGAAGTCTGAATGTATTCCTTCTGTCTGATGTAATTCTATTACCTAGTGCCAATCTCCTGCCTTTACCCCATATCCCAACATGCCGTTTCTATCCAAACAATCAACAAATGCCCTCTTAAATCCCTGTGGATGATGAATGAAATCCAAACGCTTTTGAAGGACAGAGTACCAGAGTTCCAGGAGTATTCCTGGAAATATTTCCACGCTAACGGAGATCTTAAAAGTGTACACAGTCAATTCCGGAAAAAAGGATGAAGTTGGAGATAACCATTAGATCCAGAAGAAATGGGGAATTCAACTGAGTTCAATCCAGTCCTGGGTGCAATACTAAAGGTAAATGTGATTTATAAGGGTGCAAAACATGCTTCTTGGAATGATAAGCTTCAGTTATAGGAGTAGATTGGAGAATGGTCTCCATAGCAAAGAGTTGGTTTGAGAGAAATGTGGTCAAGTTTTCAAATTCATAAGGACAGAGTAGACAGGGAGAAATAGTTCCCATTGGTGGGTGGATTAGAACCAGAAGGCACTGATTTAGAGAGAGTGGAAAAAAGAAGCCACAGAGGTGGGAGAAAATTTTCTTTCACCCAGCAAGTGGTTAGAATCTGAATGTGCTGCCTGTGAGTGTGGCAGAGGCTGATTCAATTGAGGCTTTCAGGAGGGAATTGGCACTCGGTGAATTGCTCCTTCAAAGACTCATCACAGACATGACTGATTGAACAGCCTACTTCTCTGGTGTAACCATTCTGTGTGATTCTCTGTGAACACAGGAGAATGAACTGTTGGCCCGGAACAAACTAAAGCCAAAAAGCAAGTAAGACCAGTCATAAGCTACCAACAACAGTGGGAGACAGATGGGAGACAAAGGTACCATCAAACTTCACTGAATATCAGAGATGTGACTTGGGGTGCGAGGGGCTTGAGGCCAGACAGTTTGTACCTTGGAAGGAAAGTCATCTGTCAACCAGTCGCTTTGCACCATGCCTGCCCCACAGCCAGAATACACAGGGTGCTGCTTCATTAGTGCAGTGAAACTCCTGCCCTTCAATGGGAGAAGACCCCAGCCCCTGGAGCTGCTGGTCAGTCTGAATATCCAGCACCTGCAGCAGGTCCCAGCAATGCCAGAGTTCAGTAGGCAGTGCCACCAAGATAGCTACCAGTCCCAGGGTGAAGGCCTGCATCCAAGCCAGAAGGGATAAGGTGGGTTAGTTGGGCCATCTTAGGGAGCGTGATGCACAAAGAAGGTAGAATTGGGCTTTTAAAATCAGCACTGAAAGGAAGGAAGGGGGCATTTTAAAAAATTCATTAATGAGATGTAGGCATCACTGTCTGGGCTGGCATTTATTGCCTGTCCCTAATTGCCCTTGGTGGTGTGCTGCCTTCTTGAACTGCTGCAGTTCGTATGGTGCAGGAATGTCCACAATGCTCTTAGGGAGGGAATTCCAAGATTTTGACCCCGCGACACTGAAGGAGAGGTGATATATTTCTAAGTGAGGATGGAGAGCGGATTTGGTAGGTGGGGGTGGTGGTTCTTGCAGACAGTGATGGTATTCCCATGTATCTGCTGCCCTTGTCCTTCTAGATAGTGGCGATTACGGGTTTGGAAGGTGCTGTTTAAGAAGGTCGGTGCTTTTCTGCAATGCAAAGTGTATCGTGTGGGAGGGTTTGACCCGGATGCACACAGGGTACCTTCTGAAGATAGTACCCACACCCACTCCTTCCTGCAATTTTAAAACCTTCAAAAGAAAAACAGATTGCCCACTGCTGCCTGCCTGCTCATGCGAAACATAACACGGGCTGGGTGGTACAAGGATCATATCAAGTTTTTAAATCAAGATTTTGGAAGCCAAATTTGATAACGGTCCACTGATGAAAACCAACAGTGGACATGCTCAAGGGATTGGCTATTAGTCCAGTAACTTTAAACTTGTAGTTGGGGCTAAAATATACCCATTACTAGACCCAGGGGAATTTGAACCTCGGAGCCAGGAGAAAGGCGCACAGTAGGATTGTGAAGGCAGCATATGGTGTGTTGGTTTTCATTGGCAGGGAAATTGAGTTTAAGAGCCGTGAGGTTATGATGCAGCTCTACAAAACTCTGGTTAGATCACACTTGGAATATGGCGTTCAGTTCTGGTCACCTCATTATGGGAAAGACGTGGAAGCTTTAGAGAGTGTGCAGAGGAGATTAACCAGGATGCTGCCTGGACTGGAGGGCAGATCTTATGGAGGAAAGGCTGAGAGAGCTAGGGCTTTTTTCATAGGAGCAAAGAAGGATGAGAGGTGACTTGATAGAGGTGTACAAGATGATGAGAGGCGTAGATAGAATGGATAGAGTGACTATTATGAGGGGGCATAATTTTAAGGTGATTGGAGGAAGGTATAGGGGAGATGTCAGAGGTAGGTTCTTCACACAGAGTGGTGGGCGTGTGGAATGAGCTTCCGGCAGTGGTAGTGGAGTCAGATACTTGAGATTTTTAAGTGACTCTTGGATAGGCATATGGAGGATAGTAAAATGTAGGGTATGCAGGGTAGATTGATCTTAGTAGGATAATTGGCCCACAATGTTGTGCCAACCTAAGGGCCTGTACCGTTCTATGTTCTTAAAGGGAGATGCCATCCCTGGATCAGCTTCATCAAAGGGGCAGTAGGCGGGTTACATGCTAGTGTAAAAGGGGAATTAATCCTGTGTGTGTTGCTCTGTGGTAACAGAACTCAGCTAGTCTGAAGATTAGAATAAGCAGTGATCGGGTAGAAATGTCCGCACTCACCGTTTCCAGCTCGTGCTTTCTCTTGCCAATCTCCCTCTCGACCTGGTGCAGCTCCAAGCTCAGCTGCTCGCTGGACATCAGGCTGGGCCACGAGGTGTGCTGTGGTGGAGCCTGGCTGGAGACTTCTCGCTGCAACAGCACTGGGCTGTTAGCAGGCTGAAACATGCAAGGCCAAACAGGTACAGGTCAGAGAATCAGTGTGTACTTTCAAATGCCTCCAGTCTGAGACTAGTCTGGCTGTACCCACTGCCTCATGAACTCCTAACTCACACCAAGTGCTGTTCATCCAACTGCTCTGTGCTTGCTGACCTCAATGGACTCCTGGTTCAGCAACACCTCAAATTTTAATAATTCTCCGCCTTGTTTTCAAACTCTTCCATTACCTTCCCCCACCCCACCTCCTATTTCTTATCTCTTCCTGTCCTACAACCCTTATGGATATTGCCTACATTTCTGCACCTAGCTTCTTGTACAATCCAATATTATATTGCTCCACCATTTGTCAACAGGCCTTCAGTCACCTGGGTTCTAAACTCTCAAATTGTCTCTTTAGAGCTCCCCACCAGGGGAACATTTTGGAGGATGTTCTTCACTTTGGCAGCCAAGGGGAAACATCCTTCTGGCATCTACCCTATAAATCCTGTAAAAGATTTGTACATGTGAATCTAGGTCATCCCTCATTCTTCTATGCTCCAGAGAAAACAGGCCTAGTCTTTTTAATCTTTCCTCGTAAGACCGAGGGGCAACTTTTTCTACAGAGGGTGGTTCTTGTGTGAAATGAACCGCCAGAGGAAGTGGTAGATGCAGGTACAGTTACAACATTTGAGAGAGATTTGGACAGGGACATGAATAGGAACAGTTTAAGAGGGATACGGGCCAAATGCAGCCAAAAGGACTAGTTTAGTTTGGGGAACTTGATCAATATGGGCTGAAAGGTCTGTTTGCTGTTTTTCTGGAGTCGATGGTCTTTGCCTGGTTTGTGCACGCCCTATGCGTTAACCTGTTCCATTGTGTTCCATGTTAATTCCACCCTGTGCTACTGCATATTCTCCCCTGCCCAGATTTTCATTAAGAGGTGATGACAAATAAGCAGGATAAAGGGGGTTGGTTACTTGCCTCCATTCCTCGCAGCTGGTTCTGCTGGCTGATCTGCTGGTTCACTTGCTGTAGCTCCAACCTCAGTTGCTCCCTGTCCGTTGGAGGCAACTGAGCCACAGTGTGTTTTCCAGAGGCAGCCACTTCTTGCATGTTCAGTCTCTCTCTGGAATGTGGTGAAATCATCCATCAATAAACATTTTTGTGCACCTAGAAAACTATCAAATTTTCTCCCTCCTCTCCCGAAGGTGCTGACCCTCACTGGGGGAAGCACAGACCCCCAAATGCCCTCCTCTCCCGAAGGTGCTGACCCTCACTGGGGGTCTGGTCCACAGACCTCACTTTCTGCTGTTGAGGGTGAGGGACGTGCTGGGTTTGTGGACTCTGCCTTTTATCTCTCAGCTCCATTCACACTGACCGAGACAGTGTCCAACAACTCCCCCAATCTGTCACAGAGGTAACCACCTACAGATAGCTTCACTGCAAGTCTCATCGAATTACATGACACAATTAGAGCACACAAACAGGCCGTTTGGCCCGACCACACTAAACCGGTCTTTATACTCCACGAGATCCTTCATCTTTCCAGACCAATTTAGCTCTCTATTCCTTCACCTCACATGCTTATATTTCAGTTCAGCCTCTCGTTATAGGAGCCAATTTGACATTTGCACCACTGTCCGGTGATGGCATAACTCGTTGATCTGTACGGGGAGGAGAGAGTCAAGGGTGGTAAGTGATAGGTGCGACAGGGTTAAGTAGCTCCTACCTGTCAATGAAATGTCCCTGAGTAGGCATGGTTTGGTGTGACGAGTACGAGACTGGTGAGTTCGCCCAACTGTTGTGGCTTCCGTATGGATTGTAATCTACAGAAGATAAAAAAAAAAGACATATTTAGAGAAACTTCAATCCCAGCTGCTTTAATCAGCGTAAGGGAAAAGGAGGCTGCAGACTGCTCTTTACATGGAGAGAGATTTCAGGTACTTACACAATCCTGTCCTGTGCAGACATTATCTGGTGACTGCTACCTGCTCAGAGGCTATACAGCTCCATGGTTCTGTATTTCCTTTGCTGACTCTAGGAATACCCCTATTAGGTACAACTGTTCTGAAAAAGGGTCACTGGACCGGAAACGTTAAACCTGATTTCTCTCCACAGATCCTGCCAGACCTGCTGAGCTTTCCCACCAATTTGTTTTTCTCTCTTTTTTTAAAATTACCTCAAAGCAACAGATAGGTAAAAAAGTCGCCATGGTCCCAGAGGGCCACAGGGCTGCTCTCTCATAAGAGAGAAACGACCGGATGTGGTTTAACCTGGCAGTCATTATGCCTCTAGGCAAGGCAAGAGATTGAGAAGAACCCTTTAAAGGTAACCTCTGCTTTGTGAGAATTGAACCCACGCTGTTAACGTCACTCTGCATCACAAACCAGGCATCCAACCAACTGAGCTAAACAACAAAATGGCAGATAGTCAGGGCTTGGTTAAAGTAAATACTGCTCACATTCATACTCATTGTGAAGGGAGCAACATGTCAGGGAGAAATAAGGACAGCATTATACTATTCATTATATTATTCTAACACAGATCTTGCTGGGTGACCATGGTGCGGATACAGTACACTTCCACATGGCATTGATATCTGGCACGAATGCATTTCTATTCTGTGATCCCCTTGCAATGACGGTCAACATACAACTTGCCTTCCTAATTGCTTGCTGTATCTATATACTAACTTGTGTCCCTTGTAAACCCAGGTTTATCTGTGCAACATTTAGAAGTTTCACGATTTTTACAAAAAAATTCTGCTTTTCTATTTTTATGGGCAGGTAAATAACCTTAAAGTTCACAACGCTACAGTCTGTCTGCCACTGTGTTGTCCACACTTTTAACCAGACTATATTTCTACGATTTTCTCTGTCCTCTACACCTCAGTTTGATATCTTGCTGTTCAGCATTTGAGATGAAGATGGCCATCTTCTTCACTCACATAATCTGTTCATAGCTGAGGCCTTGCCACTGAGTCTTGCAGCATTCCAAGAGAGACAGACTGCCAATTTCAAAGTGCTCCATTTACACCCACTGTTTCTAATTCCTGCTCAGATAACTAATCCTTTATCCACAATAATATCATCACCAAGTCAATGAACTCTTATTTTGCAGATTAACTATTTGTGAATGCAAGAAGAAGAATACTTTTTTGGAAATTCAGCAATGGGAACACCAGGAACAATGTTCCAACGTCAGTGATGGGAATATCAGAGTGGATTTATGTCAGTGATGGGATGGTCAGAATGTAGTTATGGCATTTGCAATGGGAATATCAGGGAACTGAATTAGAACGGAGTGACTGTAAAATTCCAGATGGAGGTATAAACCAGCATTGTCCTGAACATTTAGGATGCAGTTATTGTTTGTTACTCAGTGGTTTTAATGGCTGTCTGTGACTGCAGTGACACACAACGTTTTCCTGGATGTTGCCATTACCCGAGACACTGATGGGCTTCGTGGCAATGCCTTGTGAGGCCACTGCCTGCACTGGCCCTGTTGTCTGATAGCTGGTTTTAGAGGTGCGAGAAATGGCACCGAATTTGGAAACAGTTGGCAACTCCCCAAAGGGTATGATGGGATCCTCCTCCTTGCTCTCGGCTGCTCTCCTCTGAAGGTCCAGATTCATCAGCTGCTCCCTCAGGCCTTTACTGTCAACGTTCTGTGAAACGACAAAGGAAGCTGTGAGTAACAGAGTAGATCAGTCATCACACACTCACACCAACGTGACTCTAAAACATTACCGGTTGACCGGTCTTGCTGCAGCATTGCCTGAGGTGCAATGACCAGTGGCGGACCATTATGGTCCTTCTGCTAAGTGCACGTAAAGTGATGGCGATTCTGCTCCATCTCTCACACAGGCAGGTCTGAATAAATCCAGCTTAGGGGGAGGAGTTGGGGCTTTCAGGGGATTATTCTCATCACCAGGCAGAAGCGCCTGATTCAATTAAGGAGTGGTTGCACTTTGAGACTTCTGCACACACAGCTATTTTGATTTTGGCACAAATCTTCCCCAAAAGGAGTTCCCTCAGTCACGTCATACTGGGTTGCTTTAAAATGCACAAAGATCCAGCCATAGCCAGCATATCTGCCCTCCACACACTCAAAACCAACCCTGAAATCAAAATCTAAAACAGTGAAAAAGAAGTACTGTTCAGTGGAGGGCAAGAAAGACTCCAACATTACATACAAGGCCATTCAGCCCAACTGGTCTGTGCCAGTGTCTATACTGTACTGGATCGGTGCGCATTTTATCAATATATCCTTCTGCTATATGAACTTCCATTTAGGATGTTACTTGGGGTCTCTGCCATTTCCAGCAGCATGTTGCACGGTTTAACCACTTTTTATGGAAAGGAGTTTCTCTTGAACTCTCGATAAGATGTATGAGCGACTGTCTTATTATGGTGGGGCTATGTCGTCCACACGAGTGGAAACATCAAAACGGCCTGATGAAGGCTGAATGTGAAAGCACATGATTTTACCGTGATCAAACGCTGGCCCCATCTCCACCATTACACACAATGGCAAACTCAGTTCAAACTTGGAGGTGACTGAAATACAGCTATGACTTTAGGAAGGAAGGGGGTCTTTTTCTCACCCAAAGCATACCCTGTTCACTTGCTAAAACAGAGGAGGAAGGACTCCACACATTACAACACATTCGTCTCAAGTGTCTGATTATTCTGACATCCTGTACTCTCAGTTCCAAGAACAGCAGTTGTACAATCACTGCTGCCTGTCAATGATTCACCATTTCTAAGGGCATGTGAAACAAGCCCAGCGCAGAGTCAACACACACACCTGCCTGTTCCAACCACATGACCTTATCACCATCCCTCCCAGTGTCCTTGGGTTTAATGCTGTGTAAACAGTTACAACAGTGGGAACTAGATGGTGTGGTTAGTCAAGACTGTCCTTTCACCCTTAGGGTTGTGACTGACAAGCACCTGACTGGTGAGATGGACAAGTCCTTGCTCTTTCTCTGTGCCTTGAAGGGACATGTGCAGGAGAACTTTGGAACCTGAACCAATTTCTTCAAGGGCACACGTCATTAGCACTTAGCACTGCAACCTAGCATGAAACCCTCAAATCAAAAAACATGATGGTTAAGTACTGTTAGCCACAAAACCTAACTTCTGAGGTTAAGGTATATTACAATGACAGCTTTACTCTATCAGACCCTACGCTATACCTATCCTGGGAGTGTTTGATAGGAACAATACAGAGGGAGATTTACCCTATGTAAACAGGACAATGAATATCATAGAATAATCCTTGTTTTGAGGCCTTCTGTCTTTGCTGGGGATTCTATTCCAAAATATCCTGATGGATTTGATTCCCTCCTTAGCTCAGGCACACTGGGAGTTTGCTGCTGTCCTGAAAAGATGTTTTACCCGAGCACGGACAGTGCATCTCAGATGCGCTTTCTGTGTGTAGCTCACTGAGCCCACCTCCACCTGGGTGAATTAATACCATTATCCACTACATATCTTAGTAAACCAATGCAAGAGTATGCCTTACATTCATCTCCATTCCACTGGAAGGCATAATGTCTTTAGGTTGTGCATTTTGGCTGCCAATGTAGGAACCAATAGTGTCGCAAGACCAGGGCGAGTATTGAGCGGCGTATTCATGGTCCTTGTACTTCTTGACTGCTTTCAGGTCCTCATCAGAATACTGAGCACAGAAACATGCAACACATAGTTAACATCTACACTGAAACCAACAGCTGAAAGATTGGTATTTAAAACCAGCATCTGTAAAATAGGGCTGTACAACGTAAAAGGAAACAGAACTCGTGATGCACTGGTAGTGTCGCAGCCTCTGAGCCAGAAGGCCCAGGTTCATGTCTCACCTGTTCCACACATGTATGAGAACGGCATTTCTGAACAGGTTGTTCAGAAAATATTAAAGAGGAAATCGAACTTGCAATCTGAGCATTTTGGGTGCAACAGAGGCTACGAATGACCCGCGTGTTTTATTGAGATACAGAAATTCTGGGGTTGAAGGAGCCAATAACTGGACTGGATCCAAGATTTGACGGCATCAACAATTGGGCTGCATCATTGACTGGGAGAGAACCAATGTCTGGACTGGATCACAGATGGGGGAAAAGCCAGGGAACTGAATGAGCCAGTCACTGGGCTGGATGTCACCAGTCAACTTTAATGCAATTGCACGATACAGCCTTCTTCCCCCCCTCATGCACAGAAGCCACTTTCAAACTCCAGGCTTCCATGGCCAAACCCTGATGTGCTCTCAAAACTGACTGCTGTTCATACATTCCTGATAAGAGAAAACGGAGAAAGTTCCAAGTACCTCGGGGGAAACATCGACAAAGGAAGATGGCATTGCTGCGGTCGGGGGGAAGGGAGGTGGAGAAATGGTCTTCCTCTCCTCGAGTTGGGCCATTAACTCTTTCCTGCGCCGGTGAAGATAATCCAGGCTTGGCTGAGGTTGAGGTTGGTGCTGTGGCACCCTGACATGAGGATCCTAGAAGCAAACAGCACAATCATCAACATTCTGTTACACGTCTAAGAGAAACCTTTAGAAGTTCCGTCAGAAGCGGAACTTGCTGTTACAAGTAGTCATTGATACAACTAACATAGATGTATTTAAGCAGATTTAAGGCTTTATAACAGCACCTCACAAACCCACACATTGAGGAAGATAAGGGCAGCAGATACATGGGAACACCACCTTCAAGTTCCCCTCCAAGACTCTCATGTCCTGACTTGGGAATGTATCGCCGCTCCTTCAGTGTGGCTGAATTAAAATCCTGATGGCATTGCGGTGTTCCTATGCCACATGGATTGCAGTGGTTCAAGATGGGAGCTCGCCATCAACATCCTGAGGGCAATTAGGGATGGGTAATACACACATACTGTGAACAGAAGAAAGAAAATGCTAGATAAGGAGTTGGGGGT